ATATATATATATATATATATATATATATATTTATATATAATAAATAGTATATATTTATATCTATTATATATTAAAATAAATATAATTGTGTATTATATAATTTTATTTTGTGTAATATAATATATATAAGTATACTTACACGGCATTTACTTACGAAAAACAATCAAACATATTAGATGATGCAATTGCTGTCATGAACTTGTTCTTTATGGCAACCAGACTCCATTTCTTTTTATTTCCATTCGTCATTCTATCAAAGCAACATTTAGAACAAAATTGCATCACCATGTACATTAGCTAATGCCATTAAATGGAAACTATTAAAAAAAAGACAAATGTTTCTGTTACAGAAGCTTCTAACAGTGAGTCTAACTGTAGAAGCAGTCATCCTTGGCCTTACGAGAAAGACTATTGAATTTGTTGGAAGTAAAAGTGCAAGTGGATCCCAATCATAAAGTGTTTTGTTGCAGTGTAAGTTGTGTTTGTCCAAAAAGAATATTTACAGTACCAATATAAAATCACTTTTTTAACTAAAGAAACGCATTAATTACAAACATTCCCATAAATTCAAGGACTTTGAATCATGCATCAAGAGATCAAGCAAATGGTCAGTTAAAACAGCAGAGACAAGGGCTCATACTTCTAGTATGAGAAAAACTGGGAAAAATGAAGCAGAACAAACAACTCTTGGAGCCTTCATTGCTGCTAGTGCTAGGAGGGTTAGTCAATGTAAAATATATGCAATTGCAACTGATTTGGTCATTGAGGAAATGCTTCCTTTCAAATTTGTTGAATCGCAAACATTGAAAATCATTACAGCCAATGATAAATTTGCCCTAAAAAAGATTAACTGAAAGAGAAGCTTAGCACAGTAGAGTGGCTCGCGACCACAGCTGACTATTGGAGCTGCCATAATAGCTAAGTTGTGATAAATTTTCAACATTTTTCATTTTACAGATGATAAAAATTATTGTTCATTATGAAAATCAAAATATCTAATGATAGAATGAGACATGAAATTCACTTCAGCATAGAATCCACAGTGAAAGTGGACTGTGTACCATTTTGCATTAAATAGTTTAGCTTTGTATTGTTTACTTTTACAAATGTGGATGTGACTGTGCATTGGATTGACCCAGAAAGCCTGAAGAGAGAATATGCAGTGCTTGCTTGTCACTGTCTCACTGGCCACCACATCTATGACTTGATCATCAAGGAACTGGAAGCAATTCACATCAAATATTGGAGCCATCATTTTGAAGGCATTCAGGTTAGTTACAGTATTTTTATGGTACATTTTGTGCATTTTATGGCAATGAATAAGATATATACATAATATATATTTATCTTAATCTATGTAAATAATACTGTTATGTCTGTTTATCTGGTCCTTTTCTCATACATTTCTTGATCAGACACTACAATTCTCATATCGTTAAAAAGGCCTTTGTGTGAGGAGTCCGGATTGCATGTTGGCTTCACAAAATTGTAATGATTAATTTACGTTGAGGCCCGGCATGGCCAGATGGGTAGGGCCCTTGACTCGCAATCTGAGGGTTGCGGGTTCAATTCCCAGTCCCACCAAACATGCTCACCTTTTCAGCCATGGTGGCATTATAATGTGATGGTCAATCCCACTATGCATTGGTAAATTGGTAAATGAGTAGCCCGAGAGTTGGTGGTGGGTGGTGATGACTAGCTGCCTTTCCCTAGTCTTTCACTATTAAATAAGGAATGGCCAGTTGAGATAGCCCTTGTGTTGCTTTGTGCAAAATTCAAAACAAACCAATTTATGTTGAATTTTATACTTCTTGGAAGGATGGTGAACAAATTAAAGAGAGGAGGTCTAGAGATAAATTCTCACGCTTAAGGAATTTCATACTTGTTTCAAGTATTGCCTTATAAGTTATAAATTTAAGAACTTAAAAATTATATACTTAAGATATGGATTATTAGCTATGTTTTTGCTATATTTATTTATATGCCATGATAATAAAGTAGTTTAACCCTGCTTCCCCGGGTACCCCTTACAGCACATGATTCAAGGTTTTAGTGTCTTACATTCAAAATTTTATTAAACTACTTTTTGTTTATGTTATACCAATTAAAATATCATAAAATCTCAGCTAATAATCCATATTTTAAGA